CTCGTGATCCGCCCGCCTCAGCCTCCCAAAGTGTTGGGATTACAGGCGTGAGCCACCGTGCCTGGCCCCTATGAACTTTTTAACAATACTTGCCCCCAATTTTAGTTTTACGTTTGTTCTTGTGAGATTATTGATAACACACTCACTTTTTAGATCGGAAGCCACGTGAAGGCAATGATTGTGCTTATTTCTGTTTTTCATAGTATCAAAGTATTAAGTGCCACAAACACCGGCCATTTAATATTTGCATGAATGAAAAAAGAAGGCTCTTTTTTGTCACTGTAGCCATTGCTGATAATCTTTCATGCTTTTGTAAACCATGGACTGATCATTCATTAGCAGTTTTAATGGAGAGTTAGCTTTGTCTTAGATTCTTATTAATAAACCGCATGAATTTATAAATATTATAAGCATTTCTATAATACACATTGATTCCATTTCTGGGAGAATTTTGGGGTCCTGTGGTTTTTCAGAAAATACATGAGAATTATTATGTCTTTGAGGTGCATAGTTTGAGAAAATGAAATATTTTATATTTTAACTTTTTTTATATTTTAACTATTTTCTTTTTCTAGTGTTGAAGGGCTCCATGCCATTGTTGTATCAGATAGAGATGGAGTACCTGTTATTAAAGGTAAAAGTGAACATTTAAATGCAAATATCTTCTTTGCTTTTGACTAAAAATGTGTGTAATTTACATCTGAGTAGTACAGCAAGCAAACCTGTAAAATTCATTTTAGTAAATTTTAGGAGATGGTGGTCTTAGTATTGGCGGAAGTGTTTGCTTTTGTATGTTGAAGGTTGAATTTGAATCTACAGTGTATTATATATCAGGTGTATCATGTTAACATCTAGAGTTTAAGCATGGATTTATCACAGACCCATTTCCCGTTAAAGACATTTACAGTGCAACGTAAACCATTAGTAAATCTAAGTGATGAGAGTGAGCATGTAGGCAGCTAGATAAACACACAGACACCCCTACATTACATACACACACACACACACACACACACACACTTTATCAAATTGCTAGTTGTTTTAGGATAATACCCATGTATTTGAATCATAAGTAAACATGATGTTACAGAGAGTCAGTATGGATTCAGACAATTTTTTACTATTTTTATTTTATGGTATTATGAGCATGGATGTTCCTAGTTTTTTTGGGACACTGTAATGGCTTTATCAAACATTAAAGATTGGATAATGTTCTGTATATTTTGTGTACAATTTTCCACCTAGAGTTGTCATATATGTCAGATAATTTTAGACTTTAGAAATGAACGGAGGTTTAGAAGTCAACTGATTTAGTTCTTTCATTTTATAAGTGAAGGTAATAAAGTGCAAAGACACTTGGACTTCATTAGCAGTTTCAATGGAGAGTTAGCTGTGTCTTAGATTCTTATTAATAAACTGCATGAATTTGTAAAGATTATAAACATTTCTATAATAGACATTGATTCCATTTCTGGGAGAATTTTGACAAACACATTATAAGAACATGGAATATCAACAAAGGAGGTCCTGTGGTTTATAATCTTCAAACATTGCAGTCCAAAGTCGGGCGTGAGTCAGTAACAGAACCCATCACCTCCTGATGTGTGGTCCAGTGTGCTTTCTAACTCACTATAAAATGGTCATTGAATGGTTATGGACAGATTACTTGCTTTCTCTTAATTCTGTAATGAGGGATTTGAACAAAATAATCTCAGATTTTCCAGTTCTAATGTTCTTCATGAGGATATCTGTGTTAAAGCCTTGAGCCCTGCACTCATTAATACAACAAACTCCATGCAGACCTTTTAATGAGTGAGAGAAACATGAAACAGGTAACTAGCTGCAGATTGCTAATATCTATGAGAGATATTCCTTGCTGTGGGTTTTATAAGAGCAGAAGTTTTGTAACTTTTTTCATTAGTTTATTCTAACCTAGTCCTCAGATAACCAGTTAAATGTGCTTGATTAATCTATGTTTTAAGTTAGATATCAAGAAAAGGTAAACATTTAATTTTCTTTTTAAAATTTAAAAAAATTGTGAGAGTCAGCATTTCTTCTCTTATTTGTGATCAGTGAACTTTTGACTGAGCAATTTTTCCTGATTAGTGATGAGACCCCATTAGTGATATGATTTTCAATATTGTGAAACGTAACCTTTGTGCTCAGTTTTAAACAGAGGTTTATGAAAAAGGGCTGTAAATCTCTCTATCATATCCTCTGCATAATTTTTATTTAAATCACTTATTTTTCTAGTGGCCAATGACAATGCTCCGGAGCATGCGTTGCGACCTGGTTTCTTATCCACTTTTGCCCTGGCAACAGACCAAGGGAGCAAACTTGGACTTTCAAAAAATAAAAGTATCATCTGTTACTATAACACCTACCAGGTAAGTTCATAATTATCAAATGATTTGCTGATTTCAGTTGTCATTTTTGTGCCTTTTATATATAAAATAGTTTGTGTTATAGTTCTCAATTTTAGTTTTGAAGGGGATGAAATTGTAAAATTTTAGCCTTCAAATTGGTTGTGTTAAACGGTAGTAATTTTCTTCACATTTTATACCAGGAAATAATTACGATGGAAAAGTAATTAAGTGACTTAATAAAGTACATGTTATCCTAAAAAGTGTACGTCAGGTCACTGTTATCTCCAGTAGATGGTGCCCTTAGCTAAACAACTGTGATTTCTCAGATGACACACTTTTTTTGTTGTAGTAACAGATAAAAAAAACTTTCCTTGAAAGTTTATTAAATTTGCTCTTGCTGCTAATTCCTTCATTTTTTGGAAACATATATATGTAATAAATGAGGTTATTATTTGTGGGAAAGAAGTTAGTTTTTACATGTCTCTTGATCTCAAGCTATATTTTCTTAAGACTGAATTAATTCCTTGTGTTTTAGAGCTATGTTTCTTAATCAATTGATGTTAAGTTACTCTTTTTTTTTTTTTTCTTCCGAGACACAGTCTGCCTGTGTCGCCCCATGCTGGAGTGCAGTGACATGATCTCATCTCACTGCAACTTCCGCCTCTCAGGTTCGAGAGATTCTCAAGCCTCAGCCTCCCAAGTAGCTGGGATTACAGGCATGTGCTACCAGGCCTGGCCAATTTTTGTATTTTTAGTAGAGATGGGCTATCACCATGTTGGCCAGGCTGGTCTTGAACTCCTGGCCTCAAGTGATCCCATCCACCTCAGCCTCCCAAAGTGCTAGGATTACAGACGTGAGCAACCATGCCAGGCCCATCTTTTATTTTAAAAGTTACATATTTTAATATGTATTAGGTAAAACATAACCAAACCATCTGACCTTTAATTTCAAATAAGGATTAGCTTGAAACTAAGTTTTTTTTTTTTTGAAGGTAGTTAATTTAAAGTTATTTTAAATTTAATTTAAATTACTGTAATACACAAGAGCCAGAAAATATCGTGAAGATAAACCTACCTGAATGACTGAGAACTACTGTATTTATCCATTTAATTATCAACTACTTATTAAGTCCTTATGATGTAATTGACATTCTGCTGGGCTTTAGAGATAAAAAAATGAAGACATGGTTTCACCTTAAAAACTTTCCAGGCTCAATGGTATTAATGTCGCTAAGAGATCATCACTAATTATGGAAATATTCACTGAAATAGAAAGTTCCTTTCTATTTCATAATGTAATACTATGATGTTGGACTAAAACATTAATCATTTTAAAGGTTTTGAAAGATTAAGACATTTCAGTTTAGTTATACTACCTTTTCACAATGCAACATATTATTTGGCTCTTATTTTCTTTTTAGGTGGTTCAGTTTAATCGTTTACCTTTGGTGGTGAGTTTCATAGCCAGCAGCAGTGCCAATACAGGTGTGTTTAATTACCTTAAATATCACTTTTAATCCTTAATTTAAAAAAATTAATTTAATTACCATACCTTAATTTAAGAGGAATAGTAGATTTAGAGCCAAAAATCTTGAACTTGTGGCCCAGTTTCACTGTCTTTTTTCCATGTCTTGGGAAGTGATTTCTCTGAATCCTAGTTTCCATATCTGTATAATGGAGATAATATATGCTTTCTCCATCTTACAATGTTATTTTCTAGTTCAAATGAGACCGTATGGGTAAGTGATTTTTTTTTTTTTTTTTTTGGAGACAGGAAAATTAAATATTATCTTGAGTGCTACATCTTGCTCCCATTACAGCAGTTTAAGAAAACAAGGTGAAAATAACCCAACAAAATGCATTAAAATGATTGATGAATTATAGACCAATCTATTAAATTAGAATTTTTAAAATTTTACCTAATGGGGAAAATGAATGTGATTGAGAATTTAAAGAGCCTGAATAAGACGAATGTAGTCTCATTCTTCTTGAGAACTGAAGAATTTGAGAACAAATGCTAGGAAGCTGTATCCTTTATAGAGGATACAAATTCCATTGTATCCAATACTTTCACCGAATATTTATGTGTAAAATAATGATTATTCACTTGGTTGTAATTTTTTTACTTCATTTTATATAAAGTAGGGTTTTTATTAAAAGGTCTGTCTCCTTTAGATTTGATTGCTGTTGAGAATTGTAATGTATTTTTTTTCTGTTTGATTTTTCTCCAAGCTGAGCAAATTCTTCTAGCTATGTCACTGAAGCCTGTTCTTAGATACCTTATCTTTAGAATGAGAGGTTTAGATTTGATGATCTATTAGATCTCTTCCATTTTGAAACATTTTAGAAATCTGTAAAATACTATATGTAAAAGCACTTTCTGAATTATATAGGATAGTAATGGTGTTTAGATTTTAAGTATATTTATGAAATATACTAAATCTCAATTTTGGTACATGACCTATCACATACCAAGTCACCAGTTGTTGTATATTATGATAATGTACAGAACAATATTTTAGTACTTGGACCCTTTCCTTGAGAGTCCAGGTACTTTTTATGTTCTATAAGACAGAGAAAGATCCTTATTTGTTTGAACATAAAACAGGCTCTGTTTGAGGTAGGTAGCCTTTCACTCTAGTAAACTAAGGAGAAGCTAGATATGCTGATTTCTAGATGTTTGTCTCCCAGGTTCATCAATGAACTCCAGTGTGTTTTATACTCTACCATTTATTTTTAAAATATTTTTTCATTTGAAATATTTATTTATGTCTTAGCTTTGTTGAATTTATAAAAATAAATTTCTGATTTCCTTTGTTCAGTATAGAAGCTATCTACCTATCTTTTGATGTAATCCATTAAAATTTGCTCAGAGACAGAAGTGTGCCTGATTTAGTAAAAATTATATGTATTATTTCTGAGTCAATGCAAATTTTGAAACAGTAAGGTATAAATTAAGATTTTCGTTCTAGAACTCTAACAAATTATAGTGCATATAATTTATTCTGTATTTCCTAATATATAAGTATTTTTCACTCATTTACTTCAGTAATAGATGCTGAAAATAAACTTATTAATGACTACAGAGTTTTTGGTTACTTTATTTAGGGTTATAGTACAGGTTGAACATCCCTCATCCAAAAATCTGAAATCCAAAACATTCTAAAGTCTGAAATTTTCTGAGCACCAATATGGCATTCAAAGAAAATGCTCACTGGAGCATTTCATATTTGAGATTTTTGGATTAGGGATGCTCAACTAGTAAGTATTGTACAAATATTCCAAAATTCGAAACACTTCTGGTACCCGGCATTTTGGATTAGGGATATTCAACCTGTATTTTGTTTCAGTCATGGGAAATAAACTATGTTCTGATTTACTTTTGGTAACTATGTATTTTGGGCTTGAGGAAATTTGAATTTCAGACTTTGAGGAACATTTTTCTAACATGTAATTTTCTTAATCTCTTTATTTTAGGACTAATTGTCAGCCTAGAAAAGGAACTTGCTCCATTATTTGAAGAATTGAGACAAGTTGTGGAAGTTTCTTAATCTGACAGTGGTTTCAGTGTGTACCTTATCTTCATTATAATAACACACTATCAATCCAGCAATCTTTAGACTACAATAATACTTTTATCCATGTGCTCAAGAAAGGGCCACTTTTTCCAACTTATACTAAAGAGCTAGCATATAGATGTTAATTTATGGATAGATCAGTTGCTATATTTTCTGGTGTAGCGTCTTTCTTATTTAGTGTGATCTAGGGATACCACAGAAATGGTTCAGTCTATCACAGCTCCCATGGAGTTAGTCTGGTCGCCAGATATGGATGAGAGATTCTGTTCAGTGGATCAGAATCAAACTGGTACATCGATCCACTTGAGCCGTTGAGTGCTCCCAATTGTACAATATGCCCAGGCTTGCAGAATGAAGCCAACTTTTTATTGTGAATAATAATAAGGACATATTTTTCTTCAGATTATGTTTTATTTCTTTGCATTGAGTGAGGAACATAAAATGGCTTGATAAAAGTAATAAAATCAGTACAATCACTAACTTTGTACATATTATTTTACAGTATAGGTGAATATTACTAATCAGTTTGATTATTCTCAGAGGGTGCTGCTCTTTAATGAAAATGAAAATTATAGCTAATGGTTTTTCCTCAAACTCTGCTTTCTGTAACCAATCACTGTTTTAATGTTTGTGTGTTCTTTATAAAATTTAAATACAATTCGTTATTCTGTTTCCAATGTTAGTATGTATGTAAACATGATAGTATAGCCATTTTTTCATACGTGAGTAAAAATAAAATAGTATTTTTAAAAATATAGTTTGAGCACTATATAGGTCCTGTTTTTGTTCAGACTTTTTCCAAAAATCTAAACTTAATTACTCTTTCAGCCACATGAATAAATAATGAGTGTTTCTTGTAGGTATTGGTTTGGAGGTTGTTTTAAACTGTTAATTGGAAGTATAAACTGTTAGTGTAAACTGTTAATTGGAAAAGAAACCTCAGGTTGCAGTCAGCCAAGATTGCGCCACTGCACCCTAGTCTGGGCAACAGAGACTCCGTCTCAAAAACAAAACAGAAAAGAAACCAAGAAACCTCAGGCATGAAGCTAATTTAATCTCCATGAAAGAGGTACTACAGTTCTAGAATATGCCCTTTATGTTCAAGAATGCAGTCTATCATTCAGAGTTGTTAATTTCTTTCTAGTTTCTTTGACAATCAATTTTTCCCTGGAACAGTTCAGTACATGTGCATTGAGCACCTGTGTGCCAGTCAGCAGAGCTATCACATTGCACAATTCTAAGAAGCACCATTCATGTCACATCATATTTGTATGCTCTGGGAGTTGCTTTTCACATAGAATATGTGTGATTGTTATCCCTAAAATTGTGCAGTGAGGCAATTGGCTAGGTGCTGTGCTGCTTTTTCTTTGTTTTTTTTTTTTTTTTTTTTTTTTTT